CAGGAGGATCAGGAGTTCAAGGCCAGTCAGCTCAGTTTTAAGTCGTTACGTGAGAGAGACCCTGTCTCAAAACAGAAAAACGTGGTTATTTTAAAAACTTAAAAAAGGGGGGGGGGAGGGGAGGGCATTTATACTTTGGTAAGGAAGTGGAGGGAGAGGCAGAACTGAGGGACATCCTCCGGGGAAAGTAAATGTGGGCCGTTTGGCAAGCCCCTTGGCTGATGTGAATATCAACAAGAGCCACTTTGTCCCCACAGTGACACGTTACAGCCCAGCCAAGCGGTGAGGCTCCAGGGTGCCAGCACTCAAAGCCCAGTGCTGCACAGCCCTGCTTTGCCCTTCTTAGCCGTCGGGCAGTTCTGGGTTGACCCTGAATTTTTTTTTCTTTTCTCTTGATTGATTTAATTTTTTCAAACATTTTAACTAAATAAAGGACCCAGGCCTGGTGGCATATGCCTGTAGTCCCAGTATTTGTGAGACAGACGCAAAAAGGTCAGGGACTGAAGGCCAGCCAGCCTTAGAGGTATGAGACCCTGTCTCAACAAGACAAGTTAAAAATACCAAAGTGAGGGGCTGGAGAGAGGGCTCCGTGGTTAAGAGCACTGACTGCTCTTCCAGGGGACCCCGCTTCAATTCCCAGCATCCACATGGCAGCTCACAACTGTGTATAAGTCCAGTCCCAGGGGTTCCAACACCCATGCACATAAATAAGTTAAAAAAAAACTTCCCTCTACACTCGTCTTCCTATCTACTTAAGAAGAAAGACGTCAAAGGGAAAAAAACTAATCCTTCCTTCACTACTCACGAATGCTGTTAACAATGCCGGGTAGTGGTGGTGCACACCTTTAATCCCAGCACTCGGGAGGCAGAGGCAGGTGGATCTCTGTGAGTTGGAGACCAGCCTGGTCTACAAGAGCTAGTTCCAGGACAGGCTCCAAAGCTGCACAGAGAAACCCTGCCCCGGAAAACCAAAACCAACCAAACAAACAAAAAACCATTACCACCACCAAAAACCACATGTGAACACAGAATGTCTGCACACGAGAGTGTTCATACCAGCATTATTTATCTATTTATTTATTATTCATTTATGTTTCTTTAAACCAGCATTATCTAAAACCTTCTAAATTACATTGTGTCTGTGCATGTGTGTCTGTGTGCGCACGCGCGCACACATGCGCGCACTCACACAGTGAAGCACAGACCTGGCAAAGAGTGTTGAGGTCAGAGACGGATCAGGTGGCCAGGTGCTGCAGCAGGTATCCTTCCCCACGGAATCATCTCTCAGCTCCTCACACGGGCATTATTAATAACTGCCCCAAACTAGAGAAACCCAAGTGTGCACATCAAGGGATAAGTGTATAAACAAGAACAGTATGACAGGATGGGACAGGCTGTGACATTAAGATCCTGTAAGGAAGATGTTGGCCACCATGGCTCTCATCCGAAAGGATCCCGTTAAACCAGCTGTCCACCGTAGCAACTCTGCAGACATGGAGGATGAATGGCTGGCTGTAGGTGCGCAGGGGTGGGGTAGGGTGTGGGGTGGAGGGTGGGGAGGCAGTGACTGCTGGGGGAGGAAAGACTTCTGTTTGCTGCAGTGAGATGTGCTGGGATTGGAAATCTGACAGCTGTGCAACCTGGGACCATAATAAAAGTCTTGTGTGTGTATGTGAATGAGATCTCAGTGGTCGCTCCAAAAAGTAATGATACCTAAAATATGAATAGGCCTCCAATGTTACCAATAACGATTCTCCCATGCTTATATTTTAATTACCAAAGTAACTCAAATGACCAGTAAAATATTAATGCAGAGGAAAGAAAATTAGAAAGCATCTTCCCCTGTCAACTTCAATACTCTGAAAATCCACTTATCGTATTTTTATAGCTGTGTTATTTTCGTGCTAGGGATCAGACCCTTGGGTATGTTAGTTGAACATATGTCTTTGTTATTTTTGCTGTGAAGAGACACCATGACCCTGACAACTTATAGAAGAAAGGGTTTATTGGGACTGGCTCTAGTTTCAGAGGGTGAGTACTTGACCATCACGGTAGAGAGCATGGTAGCAGGCAGGCAGATAGTAGCCGAGGGCTTATATCCTCTCTGCAGGTTGGAAGCAGAGAGAGACAGAGACAGACAGAGGCAGAGACAGACAGAGAGAGATACACAGAAAGAGATACTGGGCATTCTGGACTTTTGAAACCTCAAAGCCCATCCCAGTGATGCACCTTCAACAAGGCCATACCTCCTAATCCTTCCTAAACAGAAACAGTTCATGAACTGAGAACCAAACATTCAAATATTGAGTCACCATTCTCATCCAAATCACTACAGTACACAACCACTTAGTTATACCCAGTCTCATTATTTACTTTTTTCTCCTGATGCAGGGTCTCACCATGTAGCCCTGGCTAGCCTGGAATCTGCTATGTGGACCAGGCTGACTAGAACATTACAACGATCTCTTTTGTTCCCTCCTTCCTTGACAGGGCCTCTTGAAGTGCGGTTTCAGTGATGTCCTGGAGGCTCACCCTTAACTTCTGCTCCTCCTGTCTCCCGGTCCTCAGCACTGGAGTTACAGGCATGCAGTAGCACATCAGATCATTTTCTTTATTCTTTCTTTCTTTTTATATTATGTACCTATATTTTGTGTGTATGTGTCTGTGCACTACGTGTGCGTGTATGTGTCTGTGTACTCTGTGTGTGTGTGGTGCCTCAGGGGCCAGCAGAGGGTATTGAATCCTCTGGAATTGAAGTTACAACTGGTTGTGAGCTGCCATGTGGGTTCTCTCAACCAAACCTGGGTCCTCTGGAAAAGCATCCGTGATCTTAGCCACTAAGCCTTCTCTCCAGTGCCACCAGACCCTCTTGAGATAGGATCTCTCTATGTAGCCCTGGATGTCCTGGAACTCACCGTATAGACCATGCTGGACTCAAACTCACAGAGATCTATTTATCTTTCCTTCCAAGGGCTGCTGGGGTTAAAGGTGTGGGCCACCATTTCTGGCTGTTTTTTTTTTTTTTTTAAATCTTTACTTAGTTATTTTTAACAGTGCTGGGAATAAAACCAAGGTCTTGCATATTTTGAGCAAGGAACCTGCCATTGCATAAGGGCTTCATGTGTAACTTGGACTGGCCTGAAGTTTGCTATAGTAGTCCAGGTTGGTCTTGAACTCACAATCCTCCTGCCTCTGTCTCCTAGTGCTGGGATCGCTGGCATGCACTGCTATACCTATTTGTTCAATGCAAGCCCACAGTTGTTTTTATTTCCAATTACTCCCCCTCCCTCATCTTACTCCCCTTCCCCTCCTCTAAAATATTTATTACTTACTCTCAATTACGTGGGTGCCCTTGGAAAATGATCATGTTTTTGTAGCTTTAGAGATGTTCATGTGGGCTTGTATATACCTGTGATCCCACCACTTGGCAAAGTGGAGGCAGTGGAGTCAGGAACTCAATGTCACCCTTTGTTACATAGTGAGTTCAAGGCAATCCCGGGCTACATAAAACCCGGTCTCTAACAAAACAAAATAAAACAACAACAACAACAAAACCCAAAATACAGAGCTAGTGAGATGCCTCTGTAAGTAAGGTGCTTACTGCCAGCTCTTCTAACTTGAGATTTGCATAGTGGAAGGAAGCCCACCACGGTGTGCTCAATCTTGCATAAAAATGTGACTGAAAAAATTTTTTAAAAATCTGAGAAAATGTTTGGCTGTTAATGCTAGGCTCACAACTAAAGCATAAAAACAAACAAACAAACAAACAAATCAACAAATCAAAACAAAAAATCAACCCCCAGACCCCCCCCCAAAAAAAAAGAAAGAAAGAAAAGAAAAAGAAAAAAGAAAAAAAATCCCCTAAAAAAGCAACTTTCCCAGCACTGCGAAGCCAGCAACAGGAGGATTGCTATAAGTTCAAGGCCATCCTGGTCTATATAGTGATTTTCAGGCCAACCAGAGCTATATTGGGAGACATTATCATAAATTAAAAAGTTGCTGGATGTGATGGCTCATGCTGATAACCCGCAGAAGTACAAGACAAATGCTAGGAGTCAGTGAGAGTGGGGCTAGCCAGGGCTAGCAAGTGCTAGGCCAGCCTCAGTTACGTAACGACACCATCTCGAATTTTTAAATTTTTCCGAGGCAGAGTTTCTCTGTGTAGTCCTAGCTGTCCTGGAACTTTGTAGCCCAGGCTGGCCTTGAACTCACAGAGATCCACCTGCCTCTGCCTCCTGAGTACTGAGATTAAAGGTGTTCACCACCACCATCACCCGGCTAAAGTTTTTTGAAAGGGATATTGTGTTATGAAATTTTTTACTCAATATTTTTGAGGTCTCTGCATGTTCTTAAATTACATTGTTTCTTAGTAAATATGACATTCAACTTATATTGTCATGTTGATGGACACCTGTGGCGCCTTTATGTCTGTTACAATAAACAGGAACCTAAGTGAGAATCACTCAGGACTATAGTTTGGGACTCACATCTGGGCACAAACATGTTTTTCTATTTAACTGAAATATTGGCCATATTATAATGCTAGCCCCTGGGAGGCAGAGGAAGAAGAGTTAAGATCCAAGGTCAGCCTGTGCTCTGTGAGACCGTTTCCAAACCAACCTATATTCTCCTCTTTCCCCTCATGAACAGGAATGCTCACCTCTGAACACTCTGCCAACACTTACACACTTCAAACTTCCCTTTCTTCCCCCCAAACCCCCTATCTATCTATCTATCTATCTATCTATCTATCTATCTATCTATCTATCTATCCATCCATCCACCCACCCACCCACCCACCCACCCACCCACCCACCCATCCATCCATCCATCCATCTATCTATCTAGGCTTTTGGAGACAGGGTTTCTCTGTATAGCTTTGGATCCTGTCCTAGAACTTGCTCTGTAGACCAGGCTGGCCTCGAACTCACAGAGATCCACCTGCCTCTGCCTCCCAAGCCCTGGGATGAAAGGGCTGTGCTACCACCGTCCCAGCTTCTTTGTTCCCTTTTCCTGCAGCGCCGGGGGTTGTGCTGGGGTCTCACTCAGGTGAGGCAGGGCGGTACTGCTGAGCTGGCAGCGCCAAACTTCAGTTTTGCTGCTGGGGAGTCTAAGGTGCTGTCTCACTATGCCCATAGCGCTTTTCCCCCACTCTCGTTTCCTCTGGTCCCTGGGGACATCGCCCATCCCCCTCGCATGCTTGTTTGGCCTATGGTCTGCTACTAAGTGAGCCGTCTTTCTGCTGCTCCTCATTTTCCTTCTGTGGGTTTCCGAGACTGGGTCTCGGGTATTATACCAGGCTGGCCGTGAGCTCGCTGTGTAGCCACAGTGACTGGGAACTTCCGGTTCACCCATCTCATTTCTCCATTTCAAGGCTTGTGGGTGACACTGCCACCCCCAGCTTAGTTTTATTTCTTTTTCTCGTCGAGCTACCAAACGCTGTAAATGTTTTCGATGTTGACCTCCCTCCCACACTGAGAAGTTGCCAGCTCTCTTCTAGTCTGTTACCCATTAACTCAGTGCATGCAGTCTTTGGGTGACGCAATCTCTCGCTAGGCCTCTCCCTTACCTCCCTGGCCCTTGTGGTCTGTGTTGAGAGAAGTCAGATGTGACACACGGAGCCGAGTGTCGAAAACAGGCAGTGCTGATTCCACACAGGCTATGAAGCACCGTGAAAGGTGACAGCGGAAAGTGGTCACAAGGATTGGGAACACTGCAGAGGGGAACACTGTAAGTGACCAGCTGCCAGAGAGACCAGTACGCTTGGGCGGGTTTCATATTATCGATCAAATTCTCTAGAACAGCCAGCTTTTCTAAAGAGTAGTTCCCTAAGGAAATCCCCTCCCCCCCCATTCCTTGAACTCACCAAGTAGCTGAGGATGTTTTTGAACTCCTGACCTTTCTGACTCTGCCTGTGGGAGACAGCTGCACACCAGCACTCCCTGCTCTCCTGGACTTTTAGGGAAGTAAACAGTGGTATGTCTTTACCCTTCCCCACAGTCTCTGGCTAGTCACATTAGGAGTTTTGTTGGGGAAATTTAGAACTCATGTCTCCATCACAATTGCCACAAAAAACAAAACAAAACAAAAACACCCTATCCTGTCTGGATTGCTATCGATCTCAATGAAACTAAAAGTCACCTTTCAGATTGCTGAGTGAAATTATAAAATTTAAAATTTATAAAAAGCTTTAGACTAAGATTGTTTGCAGGGAGCGGAGGGCAAACAACCAATACACATGGGTGATCCTGACAGGAGCCCACATTGAAAACGCTAGGATGTTTCAGCATTCAGCCTGAATACATAATTCTGTGTCTGTATGTGGGTGCTAAGGTCCCCCCATCTCTAGAGCCCAGAGGGCAGTCTCTGGTGGCTCTGGGCCACTGATGCCGTTGGTTGCGCAACCACGGCTTCTGCTGCACTGGGGCTGGCCGTATGGTGGAACTTGTTCCTTCCTCAGCCTCCTGATGAACTCAGAGCAAACAGACACCTGGGAAATCACCAGTGTTCTTCCTTAAGGCGGGAAAGTTGCGGCCGTTCACGTCTTTTCAAACCTTGCTGTCTGTTGACGAGAGTCTGGAAATATCGTCTGTGTTTTCCTTTAGAGGAAACAGCTGGCAGAGGCGTCTAGAGTTACGCGTCTGTAAGAGTTTAATTCTTCGGCGGAAGTGACGCATTTTTGCTGCGTATGAGAGGATGCAGGCCACTTCCCAGTGATCTTCCTGCACTGAGATCTACTCTGTTTTTTATTTTCCGAAATGGCCTCCCGTAGCCCAGGCTGGCCTTGAACTGGATGGGTAGCCAAGGGTGATCTTGAACTGATCATCTTGCCTTCACCTCCCACCTGCTGGGATTACACGCAGCCGTCCTCACACCTGACTCAAACTTAAAACTTGACATCAGATTTTTTTCTCTTTGGGGGAGCTGCATTTCTAATACTCTAAGACAACTTGGGGGATCCGCTCTGCAACAGGTGCTGAATTCAACTGCAGACGACAGCATTCTTCGAAATTTCTTCCGCAAGCCTGGTTTTCGGGGTCAGCTGGAAACTCAGCTCCATAGGATTTATTGTTTATTTTTTTTTTCCAGACAGAGTTTCCTCTGGGTAGGGCACAGAGAAAACTCTGTGTTGGGCAAGTGCTACATCGCTAGTGAGAGTAGGGATGTCTGGTGCTGCCTCACTTCCCACTTAGTGGTAGCAGAGATGCATTTACAGGGAAGGATGGTTTCTGGAGGATGTAGAGAAGATGTAAAACAAGGTACTGGAGAGATGGCTCAGCGGTTAAGATCACTGGCTGCTCTGTCAGAGGTCCAGAGTTCAATTCCCCTCAACCACACGATGGCTCACAACTTTTATGCCCTCTTCTTGCATAAAGGCATACATGCAGACAGGGCACTCATACATAAACACAGAATACCTGTACCATACACACAGGATAAACTAACTTAGAAACACAGAAAGGTAATGCAAAAGGATTTATTTTGATGATTTATAAAAGAAACATCACATGGCAACTCAACCTTTATTTACAAATTTAAAAATAAATTTATATAAATGTATTTACACCGTGTTACATTAACCGAGTGCTAATTGAAATGTTACAGGTAAGTGTTGAACAGACACAAGAGAACATAAGGCAGGCTTTTGATGCTTAGGTACTTCTTACAGTATGTCCAACAACCAGCAGACCCTGGGTAGCAAAACCTGCCGGAAGCTGGCTTCAGCAAGCACGGGAAAGGGGACTCACCAGCTTCACGTGTTGTCCCTTTAGCTCTATTTTGCGGCTGGATGGAACACAGTCCTAGGTAAACGCTCTACCACTGAATCAAACCTTTGGTCCTGAAAGTCACTTTAAACTGTGACCAGGAGCATAAATCAAGACAGACTGAAGAAAGATTTAAGACAGTAAAAATCTAACTAATGTAGCCAGAAAAACTGAATGTAAAAATCCATACTCTGATTTGTGTGTGCAAGTCACTTTAATCAAGGATGCTGTTATCTGCGGCTGTCTGAGCGCTGACGCTTGCTCTGTGGGTCAACTGCCAGTCATGAGGCCGGGGTGCTGCCAAGGGCAGGCTGGCACTGTCAAGACAGGAGCTGTGAATCCACTGCTCTGGTCCACTTAGGGCTTTATCTACACGTTAACAGCCACAGGGAAAGAGTGTCAGCTAAACACTTGGCATTGGCCCTGCACTTGGAAGCCACCTCTGATAACTGCTGGGCACTCCAGCCCTGAAGCCAGGGAAGGAATGCTTGGCAGCTGCCTGGGCATGGATCCCTCAGTCCAGCTGCCAGGCCACGTCTGACAGTGGCTGGTGGCTTGATGGAGAGGTTACTGAGACCTATGTATTAGGGAGAGTTGGCAACCATTTTTATGAGGGAAGTAGACAAAAACAGGTATTTAACACAATCTGAGATGATTTATCTAATTTAAGTAAATACGTGTAGTAGTGGGGGAGGGTCCATTTCAGCTCCGCTTCTTAAACCAGTGGTTCTCAACCTTCCTAATGTGGCCGTGGCTCTTTAATACAGGTCCTTGCCAGGCGATGGTGGTACATGCCTTTGATCCCAGCACTAGAGAGGCAGAGGCAGTTGGAGCTTTGTGAGTCTGAGGCCAGCCTGGGCTATAGAATGAGTTCCAGGACAGCCTCCAAAGGTACACAGAGAACCCTGTCTTGAAAAAAACAAAAATTGACAAAAATACAGTTCCTCATGATGTGGTAACCCCAACCATAAACTGATATGCTGTGACTTTGTACCAATTTTCCTACTGTTATGAATTATAATGTAAATATTAGTGTTTTCTGATAGCCTTAGGTGACCCCTGTGAAAGGGTCATTTGACCCCAAAAGGGGTCATGAGCCACAGGTTGAGAACCATTGTCTTTTTTTGTTTGTTTTATTTTTTTTTATTTTTTTTTATTTTTTTGAGACAGGGTTTCTCTGTGGTTTTGGAGCCTGTCCTGGAACTCACTTTATAGACCAGGCTGGTCTCGAACTCACTGAGATCCACCTGCCTCTGCCTCCTGAGTGCTGGGACTAAAGGTGTGTGCCACCACTGCCCAGCCGAGAACCACTGTGTTCAGCCCTCCCTTATATCATGCTGCCTAACTTGCAGCTGGGTATGCAAACCCAGTATAAGGTCTGGCAGATATATTATTAATAATTAAAAACAGCTCATTTTAAATAATCTCGCAACTAGTAACATTTCATGATTACCTTAAAAATACCGGAACTATTTTTCTCACATAGAATGCGTACACATTAAAATACCAAAGGCACTTTCAGTTTACATGATAAATTAAAATACATTAATTATTATTTGTCACCGTCTTCAGCTTTTGTGTCCGTGGTGGTCACTGAGAGCCCAGTTCTGCACCTCTCCTTTGGCAAACAGTATGAAGAAAATGGCACCAAACACATTAATAGCGGCAGCGATACAGAAAACAGTCTGCCATTCCCTAATGGTGTTCTGGACAAGGAAGGAAAATGCAATGGAAGAGTTGGTTATACAAAAAAGGATGTGAGAACAGAAATATCATTCACCAAAAGTCTGAGCTTGGAATAAACCGAATACCCAGCAGCAGCAGGGCGGTGGAACACTTGTTTAGTACTGTATCAAATGACAGTGAACCAGCCGTACCGCTATAGACGCAAGCAACAAGACAGACAGAGTGCAGACTGATGACGGCTTCTGCAAAAAGCTCAGAAAAGCTCACGGCTGTCGCTCTTGGTGGTGAGGGAGGAATGACAGCTAGGAGTCCCGCCTTGCTGAGGGGCGGTTCCGCTATGTGGGCCACAGCTGCCTGGATACATCAATGTCTGAACGTGTGTTCGGCTCTGTCATTAGGGTTTGTGAATTTTCCTAATGCCTTGCGTAACTTGTGTTTACAGAACTAAGTTCTCTCCCATCTCCTCCCCTCACCCCTTCCTTTCCTCCCTCTCTCCAAGCTTTCGTTATGTAGTCCTGGCTGGTCTCAGACTAGTGGCAATCCTCCTGCCCTCGCTTCCTGAGTGCTGGTTACAGGCAAGTGAAACTGTGCCTGGTATCCATTTATTTATTTGCTACTGGAATGATCACGTGTGGTCTAGGCTGGCCCTGATCTTGCTGTGGAGCTCAATTCCTGCGCCTCTTATCAGCATTGTTTCCTTAGCCAGCCAGGCCAACGTACTGAGTTCCAGGCTAACGATCTCCATCCAGTTCTCTCATTCTGCTTAGCCCCCAAAGAGTACTCTATGGAAACAGTGTATGTATGTATGTATGTATGTATATTTTCCTGTGCTGTGTTCCATTATACCCAGTTTTATGTTGGAGAAACCCAGGGCTTCATGTCTTCCAGGAGAGCATTCAACTGGCTGAGGCACACTCCAGCCTGAATACAGTATTAAGGGAGCAGGCAAAAGCACCTGGCCTAAATACAGCCATTTTGACCTCAGACTCCATTTTACCTGCAGGGTGAAACAGTTCAAGTTCCCAGGCCCTAGGGGGAGCTGGGAACCTTCCCATGGCTGGTCAACCTCCTCTTTAGACAATAGCAATAGTTTGTTATGCTCCTTAGTTCTCTAAGATATTATGGCTGTTCCTAACAACAAAAAGAACAAATGGATCTGATTGGCTGGACTAAAAGGCTTACATTTGTGTTGGTTGACAATGACGGAACACACAAGGAAAGTCCCTAATCTTTGACTCCTGATTGGTGGAAACTGTAACTGGAACTTGGCAACAAACGCTTGTGGTTTATGTGCTGATCAACCCCGTTCTGCCCATGCTCGGGACACTGCCAGGAGAAGCAAGGCTCCCGAGTCCTCATCCTGCAGCCCTGATCCATCAGCGACCTGCTTAGGTGGTAGCTTATTACAGACTTTGGGATCCACATGCGTTGTCTCCCTCCTTCCTCACGATGCTCAGTGGACAGGAGGAACGCTAAGGCACGTGATCTTTCCAGTCACGGACCCATATCCCTACACAATAAAGTAGCAGCTTTCAACATAAACTTTACTTTATATTGTATGTTTGGTCACAAAGAATTTCATAAGAGATTAGAGATTTGGCTCAGTGGTTAAGAACACTTGCTGTTCTAATAGAGGACCTGAGTGGTTTCCAGCACCCAGACAATGGCTAAGGACAGCACTCACGTGGACCTTATCTCTTCTCACTACAGGGCCAGGGCCAGAGAAGCCAATGCCCTCCCTCTTCTGGCTTCCCTGGGCACTGCATGCACATGGTACACAGATACAACATTTAGGCAAAACTCCCATATATATATATAATTTCATAAGGAATAAACCCAGAATTTTACCATTACAATACACTAATCTTGATAGAGGTGTGAAACTCCCAAATCTTTTTAGTTTACAAGCAAAATTTCTACTTACATCAGGGGTCAGGCTTTTAGCAATGATGGGCCCAATCATTCCGGGGATAGTGGCAAATGTGTTTGTGATGCCCAGGAGGATGCCGGCATACCTGGGGAGACAGTTTCACAGAGGCCTGGGTTATAGGTCAGCTCCTTTCACAGACAGCTCCTCTCCTGACCCAGACCAAGACACTGTCTCCATGAATGACTTATTGAACCAGGATTTTATATTTAGCCAAAGCCTTGCACGTAGTTATGCAAAGGTCCAGGGGGTTTCTACTCCTGAGCAAAACAATCTACCTTAGAGACAGGTGGGTCAGTTCGGCACAGAGCAGATAGGCAGAGCCTTTTGAGATTGCCTACATTGCGTTAGGCAATGAAAATAAATGACCACAAAGGCCCATAAAACACCACAGAGAGTAACAAGGCTGAAGATATGATTCCCTTTTCTGGGGAATTTTTCTATGTCATGTTTCTGGATCTACTGGGAGCTTACAAGTGGAAACATTGTATTGGAGTATGGGGGGGGCACACCTTTAACCACAGCATTAGGGGGGTTGAAGAAAGGAAGATTGGGGGATCAAGAGTTTAAGGCAAAAACTGGGTGATGGTAGTGCACACCTTAATCCCAGCACTTGGGAGGCAGAGGCAGGTGGATCTCTGTGAGTTCGAGGCCAGCCTGGTCCATAGAGTGAGTTCCAGGACAGCCAGGGTTACACAGAGAAACCTTGTTTTGAAAACCAAACCAAAACAAAAAAGAGTTTAAGGCAAGGCTTGGCAACATACCAAGTTTGAGGTTAGCCTGGGCTACTTAAGATCCTGTTTTAAAACAAGAAAGAAAGAAATTACAGGTTAGGGACGTAGCTCAGTAGTAGAGCTGGTCCAGTATGCTTGTGGTCCTGGATTTCAATGTCTAGCATCTAAAAGTAGCTATTTCCTGGTTATGAAGCTGAATTCATTTTTTAAAAAAATTACATATTTTTGTTTTTTGTGTGTGCTTGTGTGTGTGTGCCACAGTATGCTAGCTGGGGTCAGAGGGCACCTTTTGGGACTTGGTTCTCTCTTTCTACCACGTGTGTTTCAGGGACCAAATGCAGGCCCCATCATGCTTACTGGCAAGTTTATTTACCCACAGAATTATTTCATCAGCTCCCTGAACTAAAAACTTCGAAAATTATACAGATGAGAAAAAAAAATTAAGAACATAAACGTATATAATTCTTTCATATAGACATAATCATCTAATTAGCACCTTGGTAAATGTGCTCATTACTACTTGTGTATGCTTCTATTTCCAAGTATGTAATTAGACATGAGATAATATTAAACAGTTTCACAATTTACTTATTTCACTAATTTGCTGACACTTAAGTTAGGTCTGCACTGTGCGTGTGACGGAAAGATTTTTTTAAAATAAGCTTGGGGAAAGTTTCCCAAACAAAATCTTAGGGAATCAGATATTCTCATCAATGTTTAGATCACCTGATGTGGATACTGTGAATTGAATTTGGGTCACCTACAAGAGTAATACATGTTCTTAGCCGTGGAGCCCTTTCTCTAGCCCTCACCTTGAAAACTCTCTCTCTCTCTCTTCCAAGACAGGGTTTCTTTGTGTAGCCTTTAGATGTCCTGGAACTAGCTCTTGTAGACCAGGCTGGCCTCGAACTCACAAAGATCCACCTGCCTCTGCCTCTGAGTGTTGGGATTAAAGATCTGGGCTACCTACCACTGCCGGCTGCTTTCTCATCTTTTTTTTTTTTTTTTTTTAAATTCTTTTTTGAGACAGGGTTTCTCTGTGTAGCTTTGGAGCCTGTCCTGGGACTCGCTCTGTGGACCAGGCTGGCTGCTTTCTCATTTTAGATGGAGTCCAAAATAAAAATAAAATAATAATGATAATAAAAAATAATAATTCTGCAGTGCCTAATTCAACAATGTACAACCATCCATATATTTATGTTTTAAGCCCATATACAAAGCATATAATAATTTGGCCAAGATCTTTTTTGGCTCATTCCCCTCAGAGAGTACATCTTAAATTAACCCAGCTTGGCAGCACCTCTCCCTCCTCCCCCCTCTTTAGACCATTAGCACCTTGGCAGGAGGAGGAACCAGCTGCAATGTTGCCAGGCCTCTTCCCTGACAGATCGCAAGTGCAGATGAATGCTGTGAAATATTAGATGTCAGCACCAAGAAGCCCATTCAAGTATTTATATTATCCTTGGCCAGGAAGTGTTAGAGAAGACTGATGCCTGCAGACTCAGTCAGTTTTCTCTGGTCCTGAAATGCGAGATGCCTGTTGACAAAACAACCGAAAATCTATCCGAAAATCTATGGTTAGTTTTGTTGTTGCAGGCAACAAAACTAACCATAGATGAATCATGGTTTCACCCAGAGTATCCCTGTGATTCCAGCAAGCAGGACGTTGAGGGAGGGAATTGCTACAAGTTTGAGGCTAGTCTGTTTCAAAATTAAACAAAAGAAATCTTAATTTCAACTTATGGAAGGGCTTGGGAAAACACCATGAATACATTCCATGTTAATTGGAATATTGGCTGTCCGTTGGCAAAGCTATGAGAAATGATTTATAAGCATGTCATATACTGTATCTCATAGTAAGATCAACCCCGTGAAGACGACGGAGAGATGGCTCAGGGGTGAAGAGCATTTGCTGTGCAATCGTGAGGACGAGAATGTGAACGTCAGCACCCATAAGACAAGGAAGGCATTCCCGAAAATGCCTGTAGGGTAAGTAGAGAAGGCAAGATTGCTGGGGCCTGCTAGCCTAGTCAAGGTGTGAGCTCAAGGCTCAGCAGGTCCGGGAAGAGGGGCAGAGGACCTCTCACTTATCACCTCTATCTGAGAGGAATGCTGAAGAACTGGAGACAAGGGATACAGTATGTGCAAAGTTCTAGGTTCAATCCCGTGTGTGTGTGTGTGTGTGTGTGTGTGTGTGTGTGTGTGTGTGTGTGTATGTGTGTGAAGTTTCCCCGCCTTGCTTTTGTGAACTTATTAACGCTTGGGTTAGATTTCTTTTATCTTAAAAACAAACCAAATTTTTTTTTCTTTACCAATGTGTCCCAGAACTAGATGGAATATGAAGTTGAACTGTTTAAGCCTCTTCTGTTATGACAGACCAAGACACACCCATTTCTTTGCCTCTCCTGTAAGTTCCTCTGTCTCCAGCTCCTTACCCTGCTGTGATGCTGGGAGCCAACCCTGGGACTCAATTACAGTGAGGAAAGTGTTCCACCACTGGGCTGTATCTAGTATATAAACAGCATCAATACACCCTTCCTTCCTTCCTCTCACTGTTTTTTTTTCTTCTCTTCTCTCTTTTGAAAAAGAGACAGGGTCTTTCTGGGTCACCCTGGCTGGCTGCTCTGGAGCGCTGTAGATCAGGCCAGCCTCACACTTGGAGATCCAGCTGCCTCTGCTGGGAATGCAGGGATTAAAGGTGTGCACCACCAAGCCTGGCTGATACACTGTTTCATTTTTTTTCTTGTCTAACCTCTTTGCACTTTTTCTCCAGGCTTCAGTGTTATTTAAAGTCCCAGCCATAACCTTTTGCTTTTATGAAGCAGAATCTCACCATGTAGGCCATGCTGGCTTCAATTTCCCAGGCTTTTGAATGTTAGGATTGTGGACATGCTCCACTAAGGACCGGAACAGGAAAAAGGTTGCTTTATTTGTGGCTCTTTCTTGTTGCCCACCACTGACGAGGGCGTGTCTGTTAGGACTTGCACAAATAGGTATTTTGTATTTGTTAAAAAGATAAATTATACTATACTACGACTTAATTTAAATTGTTTCATTCCCGACTTTGCCTAAGCTCATACGCAGATGCTGAATCTTTTCCTAGTCTCACGTCGGGTAAATGCAAGTACATAAACTCCACAACTATTTGCTGAGGGGCTGGGAAGATAGAACTCAACGAGTGTCTCAGTTTCCAATGTGTGAGAGGCTCCCCCAAGGATCCCAGGGTGTAGATCCTTCTTAGGTCTCGGGTGGAGCCAGGGATTCTACCGTTCATTAGCTCTCAGCTGACGGCCAGGTCTGCAGAGCACACTGACAGGATTACTCAAACTTCCAACTTCTTCCCAACTCTCTGCTCCTGGAAGTTACATAACTGAACATGTGCTTCATCTGCAAAGTCTTCCAGATTCCCTTTTTGTTTAACGAGCAGCATTAATCACTGTTTTTCCTGTCTTTCCTGTTTGCCATGCTAGAGGCTGGATCCCCGGCTTTGCACACACTAGGAAAGCTCTCTACTACTGAGCCATGAGCCCAGACCCTTGTTAACGAGACTTGGTTCTTACTCTGTAAAGGCTGAAGTTTCCTCAGCCTTGAAATGGGCCAAGAACACCCGGTACCTACCTCCTTAGACTGATTTCAGGACAAACAGGATGATGTTTGTACAAGTGACGAGTAAGCTTTCAAGCACTAGACAACTGTGTTTACACACAGCTCGTGCGCTAATCGACAACTGGAAAAATCAACAGTGCTACTCTTTGTTGTTTTATTATTGTTGCTATATTGAGACAGGGTCTTATACGACCTATTCTATCCTTGAACTCATTACATATGTAGCCAGGGATGCCCTAGTCACTATGAAGCTCTTTGTTAGTAAAATGGACATCTCTCTGTCTCCTTCCCAAAGGGACAGCTTCTAGTGCCTTGACTCTTTGAACTCTTTCTTTCTTTCTTTCTTTCTTTCTTTCTTTCTTTCTTTCTTTCTTTCTTTCTTTCTTTCTTTCTTTCTTTTTTGGTTTCTCGAGACAGGGTTTCTCTGTGGTTTTGGAGCCTGTCCTGGAACTAGCTCTTGTAGACCAGGCTGGTCTCGAACTCACAGAGATCCACCTGCCTCTGCCTCCCGAGTGTTGGGATTAAAGGCGTGCGCCGCCACCGCCTGGCC